AAGAAGTTGCTAAGCTTTGCATTTCACTTAATTTTGGTTGAAGTTTTTAAAACCTGATATTTTTCAAGGAGGTTCGTTGGTATTTTTCAGACTTACAAATGTAATGTCTTCATGGTTGAATTTTGTTCCTTCTAAATTTTGTTGTAACCGGTCAAAAGATGACTGAGTAATTTCCTCTTTCTTTAGACAACCGACATCACACATTTCGTCGCACATCTATTTCTATTGTTATAGGTTTCAGCATCTAATGAAAAACAAGTAGTTGGCCAGCTGTTTGAATGTACAAAGCCCAAAATTGTTTTAACGGACGCATATGCTCGAGAAATATCATATGTTTTTGTGTTCTTTGCGTTTCAATTCTAAAGGTTGAAAAGAGCAAGAAAGAACACGATATAGATGCAATTTCTAAAGAAAAGAAACTGCTTTCTGAGCTTAGAACTTTTGAACAGTTTGCTAAAGTGATACGTTCTGAAAAGCTGTGGGTGTTTTGCTTCAGTCTTACAACTGTAATTAATCTTTTTCTATCAAAGTCAAGGTCTATCGGGATACGAATGTGGTTTAAGTACAGGTTTCTGGCCGCACACAGATTGACAAACGTACCAAAATCTATTCATGCACTCAAGTTTCTTGTATTACAATACGTCTTCTGACTGTTACAAACAAAGATAGAGGACAAGAACTACAGGCAAAATCTAATCTGTAATAATGCTTTAAACACCAAAGTGATGTTTCGAAAGATAAAAACTCATTGAAAATAAACGTCAAAGAAAAATAAGGGGAGTTAGATTGGAAAAATAAAGAATGAGAGAGAGAGAGAGAGAGAGAGAGAGAGAGAGAGAGAGAGAGAGAGAGAGGGAGAGAGAGAGGGAGAGAGAGAGAGAGAGAGAGAGAGAGAGAGAAAGAGAGACAGAGACAGAGACAGACAGACAGACAGACAGACAGACAGACAGACAGACAGACAGACAGACAGACAGACAGACAGACAGACAGACAGACAGACAGACAGACAGAGAGGGAGGGAAAGATAGAGAGACAGAGGGAGACACACACACACACAAACACATACACATACATACACACACACACATACATACACACACACACACACACACACACACACACACACATACAGAGAGAGAGAGACAGAGAGAGAAAGAGAGACGTAGAGAGAGAGAGAGAGACAGACAGACAGACAGACAGACAGACAGACAGACAGACAGACAGACAGACAGACAGACAGACAGAGATAGTAGCTTTCTTACACCAATGAAGACCTCTCATTAATATGATGCCAATTATTTGCTGATTTGGGGACATAGTGTTCTTTTTGCCAGAGGTTTCTAAATACTGTTGCTGTTGTTGTTGTTGTTGTTGTTATTGCTTTTGTTGTTATTGTTGTTGTTTTCTTTGAACTTTTTGTCGACTTCGTCTAAATATCAGACACAGATTCAAAATATAAACATAATATTGCAGCTTCCAGAGCTGTGTCATACCTGGATTTTCTCTTGCCATTTACTTCAAACATCAAAAACACTCATAAAATTATGGACTGTAAATTTTCTTTTATCTACCTCTCCTAAAGGCAAGCTGCCATCGAGAAGGGAGTCAAATAACAACAAACAAAACAGACGAAGGGAAGACAGAACAGATGAACACGAACAACAACAAAAACCCCAGTAAGTATGCCCACGAGAAACTCTTTGCGATCCAAATTAAACTGTCCTCACCTCTTCCAAAGGTTCTATATTCTTTTGATATCGACCACTGGTCCTTTTTGCCGTGTGAGAATATTTTCAAAGACAAGGTACAGACAAGACAGATGGGATTGAAAGAAGCATTTCGTAACCCCAAAGAAGGTTTATTTTGAGGACTTATTTTCGTATCATATACTGTTTTTGTATTGCATAAAACACGGAACAAATGCGTTCATTTCCGACAAGAGTTGAGTAAAAAAACCCACCAAAAACATTAACCCCTTTTTAAAGCTCTCTGCATCCTGCGGGTTTTTTGCCGTAAGGTTTTTTTGGTTTTTTTGTAAAGTGTTTTACGGCGCTCGCAACTGCACAAGGTCATATGGGCGCGCGGGAAACACCTAATATTTTCAGTTGGTAGGAAATTTTGAATTTTGCCCGTGTGGCGGCCGCAGCCTACTCTTATCGATTTTAGACCACCAAGGGATCTTTAACGTGCGCAACTTGCACACGGGCCCTACGAGATTTTTCGCCCTTGTCCGAGAAGGCTAGGTGTAGATCTTTCCTACCAGAAGATCAGGGGTCTGGCAGAAAGACAGCAGTAAGGAGGAGCCAAGGAGTAACAGTAGAAAGGCTGCAGAAAGAGTCAGGGGCCCAGAGAAGGGGGCAAAGGAGGTGAGGGGGTGGGGGCAGAAAGTGGAAATGAAAGCAGACAAAAGAACATTGCTAGAGAGCAGGAAAGGAGGTGAAAGGAGACAATTTTAGAGAAGAAAAATTTTTGGTCTCTACCCGGATTCGAACCCGGGACCTTTGAATGAGAGGCTAACACCTTAACCTCTAGGCCACGAGAGCCCCCACCGTAAGGTTTATAAGAAGTATGAATGAATGAATAAATTGAATCAATCAATGAATTAATTAATCAATCAATCAATCAATGACAAAACAAAATACATAAGTTGAAAAAATACATGCACGTGCATGATAAATAGATGACACAAATATGTGTATAAATACATACCTAATAAAAAGGAAACATAAATTATGAAACTTCTTGAGTTTAGCACCCTCTCTTCCCATTCTCTAAACAAATTCGTTAATAACCTCCCACCCCCTCCCCCCTCCCCACCCCCATCCAGGTCTTGTGTCAAAAAGAAATTGTGCAAAGCACTCTATACTTAATACAAAATAGGAAAACCGAACATTATCGGTTCAATGTTCTTCCTGACATTTACACCAAGCCATCGACGTAATTCACCGACGCGGGGAGCAGGACAAAATGGATAGAACAGGGTTAATTGGCCAATATCCTACGTTTTACGAAGCATTGTATTAAAGAACTCGATCTTGATCAGATACGGGCCATATTACAGACAAGAGGACACCCAAAACATGATTATGTGCAAATTAAGACTCTTCAATTCCAATAAATGGGACGATTAGGTCCTGGTAGCGTTGTACTTTTTTTTTGTTTTGGGAAAGAAATAATGTTACAATGGAGAATTCTGTTGAATAAAAAGGTCATGATAACTTTCAGCTTCTATAATAGAAAACAAGAGACAAGGACATGATAACAATCCATAAATACATTGAAATAATTACTAAATCAATTTTCAAAGGCTTCTTTGATATACATCTCAATGTCTTTTAAAAAAATCCTGTAAATAATATTCCTACAAACAAAAGAAACAGTTTCCTACCAGATGTGCTCCTGTCTCCCTACCCCAGACGCTAAGGAAAACATAATCCTTTAAACAGACGTATTCTTTTTAAATAACACAGACTAGTCCAGGCTTGAATGAGAGATGGAATCAAAACCATGAAACAGCTCAGGCTGGAAAAAAGAACCTTTAAAAATAACCAAATCATATCCCAAACGTGTTCAGACCTATAATAATCAACGTGCCAATCAAGTTAGTTCAAAGCAAAACTACATCGACCAGGAGGTGTACAAAGAAGTTTGATTAAAACTGATATCCCGTAAGGTTTCTCGAATATCACGGCACACGACTTTCTTTCATGAAATTTAACACTGCTGTCGTGTTGGCAAGCAGTAAACTTGAAAATAACTCGTTTCATCTTGATCTCATGTTCGTGTATCTTCAAAGTGTTTTCGTAATTAATTGTTGTTCCTTAACACTGGTTAAGAACCCTTCCTCTTCGATGTCCGCTTCTATTATTAAGCCATCTTTTGTTTAAGAAGTATTTCGTGCCATTTACTACTAAGTATTAAGGCAAGCGAAAGGAAAATAATGTGAAGTGTTGCTTCGTGTGTCAGGTGCTAGTATATCATAATGATATACATTTCTTCTTCAATTTTGGAAAAATTGCTCTGATCTAGATCAACCCTGTTATCTCGACCTCGTGTTGAGTCACCGAGGGGACATCTGCTTTCCTATTCCCAAATGACCGAATACCCTACTTCGGGGCTCCGTGGTACAAGCTGTACTTAAGAGTGAGAGGTTAAGACTCTCTGTTTTCGTCATTGCAAGACTATGAGTTTGTGTCACGGCACGGTGGAATCAGGTGCTAGTCAATTTTTTGACACATGGATATTAAAAATTATTAGTCTCGTCTTCAAGCCCCATCTTTTGTCTCCGTTTTTTAAAAAATAATATCCATTTATTGTTAATGATGGAAGTCGAAATATTTGCTAGTGAAAGATGTAGAGGTCACCAGGTGCCATAGGTAAAATAGTGAGAAAATGGCTGCTAACGTATGGTGACTCTCAAAGCTTATGTGTCCTCGGAAACTACAAATACTTGTTGTGCCCTTGATCAACGGTCTTTCTGTTAAGGCCACACACAAATGCGTTTTTAATGATCATAAATGGTGTTGAGCAAAAATATTTCTATTGATAAAAATAATTCTATGGTCTGAAAAATTCTGGTTTCTTCGATTTCATTATTTTGACTAAAGCCTGATTTCACCAAGTAGGCACACATTTATTCCTTATCGTCGGTAAAACGTTGTGTATTCAAAGTTCACTTCCCTTCTTTTACGGCGCGGCAAGATCGAACAAAACATTCATCATTTATTTTGGTAAACCTGATTCAGATTAGTGTCAAGACACGGTGGAATCAGGCGCTCGTCAAATTTTGGACATGTGGAGTTAATGGGATCATTTTAAAGTTTGTTCATTTGTCTTGCTTTTGGTGAAATAATATACTCATATATCATGAACAGAAGTCGAGATATTTGCGATTTAAGGAGGTGGGGGTCGCATGGTTTCGGAGGTAAAATTAGCGAGAAAATGGCTACCAAAGTTCGGCGACTTCCAAAGCTTGAAAGTCCTTGGAAACTGCAAATTTAAATTGTTGTGCCTTTAATCAACATTTTTCAGTAAAATCCACACTGTAATGTTTTTTAATCAAAGGACGAAAATTCGATAGAAACTGCCAAATTGACAGAAGAATGCCAGTTTCTTCGATTTTGTCATTATGACGAGCATCTCATTTCACCATGATGCCTTGATCTTTAAGGCGGGCCTCACACCGTGACCTTCAGAAGGTAAAGAGTGAGGGTGGGGGGGGGGGGAATGCTTTCATGGATGAAACAGCCGATCACAGAGCAGGGAAGACAAACAGATACATACTATAGAAACAATATCATTCGTACACCAGAGAGTTTGTGACTTATAAAGTGTACCTTACTCATGAAAGCCTGCCCATAATCCCCCCCCCCCCCTCCTAAACACACTTTTTCCGCCCTTTCTGGGTTGGAACAAAAAGTCCACATAGGAAGTGTCCAAAACAAACATGTGGAGGTCTTACCTCGCTGTTCATGAAGCAGTAGAGGACGGATACGAAGATACCCTGAAACAGTGGAGAAAACAGCTTCATGAGAAAATGTTTTGGATTGTTCACAAGTGTTTAGATACGATACCATATTAATAAGTCTAAATATTTCTGAAGCAGTAAACTGAAAGCAGAAACATCATAATATATTATATCATTGTATTATGCAGTGTAATTATCTCTTACTACCGTGTACATTTCAAGTGCACATTATCCACCCACAAATAGATTAAAATCAGTTGAACCTACAGGAACACCACCCACACATAAATGCCCCTGTCCACTTCTAGATTTTATTTATTATTTATCTCTGGAAATCGCTGTAACCTTACAGCATTTACACTACGCTGACAGACTTGCTAAAAGTGCGTCAAAATATTATAAATCACATAGCTCTATGTTGACAAGGATATAGGTCTTGAATCAGCAACGGAACATTAATCACATATCGCTGCTCGGGGTGTCACTAAGGACTGGCTTCCATACCAAATTCTTTGTGGTTCACGTTTTAAGCCTCAGTCAACGGAATTTAAATTGTTACGGGGGTGGATTCTTTAATCCTGCCTTTCTACCCTTAAGCGCTCAACACCCATAGGAATGTGCTCCCAAGTCTGGCTCTGATCAACTCCTAAAACCGCCGAAATCTCTGCGTCTGTGGCCGCGATTTCATGAGGACGGGCACAGGTCCAGGAATTTAGGCTGCACCAAATTGTTTTTCCATTGGCCAGGGTGGAGAGGAGTGGTAGGGTTAAATAATATGTCTCTTTAATTAAAAATGCGAATTTCACTTCAAATTCATTGTCAGCGTCAAATTTTCCAGGAATCTGATACAAATCAAAATGCAAGATCTAGATCTAGGTTGAAGTAATCAAAGTTATGCATAAAAAAACAACTCTACGTCCCATGCCGACTGAGTAAACCAACCAAACAAAATGGCGATATCGCCAGGCATGGTTGCTCCGTGTGTTTTCAAAATAACCCCAGGCTGAGGCTCGAAAGAGGGCCATTGGTTTGTGCGTGTGTGGAGGGTTTTGCTCTGGCATTGGGGAAAGCATTCGAATAGTAAGTCAGAGGCAATGGACAACACAAACCTAACGTCATTAATCATCCACTGCACCAAAAACACAAGTATGACTGAAAGGTCATCATTTCAAGTTCTCGTTTCGATTGTCAAAAACTTTTAAAAAGGTGACTAAACTTCGGCATTAGCTGTTAATCTAGTTTGACATTTAAAAAAAAGCCTCAATCGTTGATATAACGTTTAGACTCAGTGCTGGTGTATCCATTACTCAAAAACTAAACAAACCGACGTCTGCGGTGTAGCGCTAAGGCGCTTCGCTGTCGCACGCAGAAGACAAGAGTTCAATTCCCGAGTGAGGTGAAAATTTAATCCAGTAGTTCGATATTCCTGTTGAAATACTTTGTCCTTCTTAGCCCAGATTGGCACTGACAGACAGGTTAGGATGCAGGCCTCCTAAATAATAATTGTCTAAATTATGTCGATGGAGGCGTAAAAACACTCACACTGTATAAAACATAACCTCAGAAAGGGCGACCGTCGGAATATGTCGTAGTTTGAGATTCTCATCAGGGCATTCATAAAGCCTCACTCGTGGATATAACGTTCTGACTCTGTGATGGTGTATAATCCATTATTTTCAGTCTTGACTGGACTATGCTACTCATACAGTGATGAACATACGAGTGTATTTTTCACTATGCAAATCAAACTGCAATAAAGAGGCTGAAACGATGTACATTATTCGAGAGATAAGGGTATTAAATTGTCATAATTAATTTGGCAGACCAAAGAAACTATTGTGAAATCATTATGTCTTTTCTATCTATCGGATGGAATACATGGCCGTACATGAACAAACAACCTTTAATTCAAAATACTGCAAAATATAAACTCCATTACAAAGGCTGCACAGCAGCTCATCGCAAAACCACCCTCACCCCACCTCCTTTTTTAAAGCTGAGGGTAAACGAATCTTTCTCAAGGATACAATGTGACTGATAATCGGAACTTTTCTGCCAAAGAATATTTCTCTACCCCCATCCACAACATCCCCCCCTCCT